CTGTAATCTAAAAGCTTAATCTATTTACTATAATTTCCCTTAGTTTCATGTCTGTATCTCTTTATTTGAAGGCTCTGATACAATTTTTATTTATATAGTTTTTATATATATTCTTATTTTTTTCAAAAAAAAGTGTTATTGATTGGCATTATGTTACATCACCTAATTTTGATTTAATTAGGGCATCTCACACCCCAACCTGAGACGTCCTTATATATACTATAATTTTTAGATGCTCCAAGTTTATGTAAAGCAATCCAGGTCAATAAAGAATGGAGAAATATTGTTGATAGTAATATGTTAGTTTGGAAGAAACATTTGTTTTCCAATGGTTTTATGTTAGAAAAAGAATTAGAAGAACAAGCAATTTCTGAAGATTGGCACATAATGATACCAGATCTAATAGTATCACCTCTTCCGTGTTCAGAAAATCATCACTACAAAGAGATATATCATCATCTCTATTTCATACAACAGATATGTTCCAATAATTATGAAAGTAATTCTGCATCCTCTCCACCTTGGTGGGAATACTACTAGTTAAATGCTATTATATCTCTTGGTCAATGTGTGGTTAGAATTGAGCAAACAAACTAATTAGTAATTTCCTTTGGTCTTTACATTGTTTAATTTTTAATTAGCAAACAAATATTCACATTTGACTTAATCAAATGTATATTATATTGACTACTATTTTTTTTTAGTTCTATTGTAAATTTCACTTGGAAAATATTTTTTTATACATATTGTGAACAAAAACTCAATTTTTCTCTTATTTGTTTTGCCATTTAATTTTAAATCCAGTTTAATTCTAGTCATATTTTCCTTGGTAACCATTTGAATTAATTTTGTATTCATAAAAGATAGTGTAACTCGATAAGTCAGTTCTGGCCTAACTCAACCAAAAAGTTCTATCCTTTTTTTTTAACTATTTAAAAAAATTCAATAAGTCAATTGATCTATATAAAGTCATGATAAGTGCTAAGTCGGTAAATCATTTAGCCCAAGTATAATTAAATGAATCATGCATGATAAATCGGTCTCATGTGATATTTCATTATGTGAAGGGTCATCATTACTATTTTAGTAATGTATGATTAAATATTATTTTTTTGTTACCAAAATGATTATTATAAAATATCTGATGTAAAAAAACTATCTTTATTGTTCATTTTTTATAATTTAGAAGGAAAAGAGCATTCTCACTTGTGAACTACATTCATGTTTTATTACCCCCATCAGTTATAATGCATCATCACACATCCATTTTTTCTTGTCAAGTAATTTTAAAAAGAGAACTTTTTTCGCTTTAATTATTTGATGATTTATCATGAATAATGCATTAATATTTTGTTATCTCAGCAGTTGTATCATCGATTTTATCATAAATAATGCATTAATATATTATTATCTCATCAGTTATATCATCAAGAATTTAGAGAACATTCTTGTCTAATCACAAACAATACATCTGTATTTATTTATCTCATTTTTATATCATCATTTATATATCATCATTTTTATACCATCACTTATATCATTGATTATCTAGCATGAAGAAATACATTTGTATCCCTATTAAATTTTATTATGTTCAGAAACTATAAGATAGACAAAACATATCATGTTGATATCAAATAAATAAAGTGATTGATCATGTCATTAAAATAAAAATAATGCTTCTCATGATAATAAAAAAACTACAATAATCAAATGAATGAAATATATTTATAGGTCTAAATATCTAAATTCATTTGATT